ATTATTCTTACACAATCAGTTCTTGTTTAGTAAATCAGTCTCAAAACAAGATCAAAAAGACTTTTTGGCTGATATAAGATATTAAAACTTGGTTAGATGGACAGTTTTTGCCGTGTATTTTTTTACCTTTAGGTTTTAAAAACAGAAAACCATAAAAAATAACACTGTTTTCTTTTAGTCATTTTATTGTGAAATGAGAAAACCAAAGAAGAAATCATAGTACAACTTTTATTAAAATGTGGGTTTATGAGATCTGCACATCGTTTAATTCTGTTTTAATTTTCATTTTACATAACGTTCCATGAGTTAAAGTTTTTTATTTATTCTAGTGAGGGTTACAGACTTGCTGTTTGTCCCCTGTAGGCTGTCTGACAGGTTTTATGTCTCTGTCCTTTCAAATCTGGAGACGTCCTTCAGCCGGTGAACAGCAGCTCCTGTCACAGGGCTCATCACTGTCTGTGTCGTCTTTGTGTGTCTGTGCGCTGTGTCTCTGAGTTGTTTCTGCTCCTGCATGGCCAGTTGAAATGGACGTGTCACAGTTTTACTGAAAACCTCCCTCAGTGTTGTCAGTGTCTGCTCCCGTCTCCCAGTTTACTCTAATAAAACCAGCGTTTTAGCTGCAGTTCAGGACTGGTGCTGTCGTTAACTTGTTCCTCTGTGTGTAAGCTGTTCGCAGCGTGTCGTACGCCGGCTCCGTTCAGAACACACCCTGGATGGGTGAAGGTGTGGAGCACCTGGCCCGTGGTCTTGGCCTGACTTCTCTGTTCCAGCAGGACAAAAAAGGTGTTTTTTTCTTCTAAACACATTTCAACCAGCTTCCTTTCTTTTGTATAATTAGTAAGGTTATAATAGTTTTGAGTTTTTCATTATAGTTTAGTTTTATTTTGTCATTACTTTTTTACTTTTAATTCAGTTTTAATTAGTTTTTATAGTGGATTTGCTATTTTTTATTAGTTATTATTGCATTTTTAATGCTTAGTTTTAGTTTAGTTTTCTTTAGTTCTAATATTAGTTTTCTTGTTTGAATAAACATATTTGTCAATGCATCCTCCAGTTTGTGAGTTAACTGACCAGCAGCTATTTGGTTCTTAGTTAAAGCAGTTCATTTTAGCAACAACTTCCTAAAATTGCGTGACTCAATTTAGCCAACTAAACACTTGAGTGATATTTTAGGACAGTGACAACAGTTGTCTCCAACACGGTGCTACTTGTTGATTGTTTTTCCATGGGAGCTACTGAGAGAAGTTAGCGTGTCAGCATAGTCATAGTTAGCCATCTTGTGTGAGCTCGATTCTTGCTGTTTTATTATTTTATTATTTTATT